GCTCAGTTTGTGTTTTTGATATGGTGCTCAGTTTTTGTTTTTATACAGTGCTCAGTTTGTGTGTTTTTTCCTTGCTGCTTAATGTAATCCATTCACTGCAGCTGGGACCTAAATATACGTCCCAGCTGCAATGGAAGGGTTAAAGGAAGATGAGTTGCATATTTTCTTTTGGTAATATGTGTGTGTATTCAATTTAGTACTAATGCAAGCAGTCACAAAGAATAAGTGCTCCATATAAAGTTTCTCTATTTAAAATTAACTCACAAAAGTTAGGTTTTGTATACAAGATCTTTACCCTGAAGGTGATGTCATACACATGAATAATTCTGTCAGAGTTCCAATACTATAAAACTTAACACTAAACCACTGCTGAAAAAAATAAGTATGATTTGAGCCATTTTCGTCAACCAGATTTAATAACTGCTTCTGTTTCTAAACTTAATATTAACACTCCAACATTCAAAATTTAAAAATATATCTACTGTACATTTTAACTACATCTTTTGGTATTGCTAAGAATCAAACCTCTGCCCACTTCTTCTTACATGCCTTACAATCCATTCAGTTAAATTTTTGTAATTTCATACTTACATTCTTCACTTAATAATATAATGTGCTCTATCCTATGGCATAGACCTCTTACCATTAACAGAATAGTACTACTTTTAACTGACTGCTGCCCATCACTTATTAAATCTATATGTTCACATTTTCTCCCACAGTCCCTTAATGTAGAGATGGCAAGGGTTATATAGAAAAGGTGTAAGCCATTTTGAATTTATTTTAATATTTAAGTATAGGTATTGCTGATTTATGTTAATTAATTAATTAATTCAAATTTTATCACCCAAGGACTACAGTTTCAAACAACATTATCAACCCTCAACCAAGCTACATGAAAGTCAATGACAGGGTATGTCACCCACAGAATAAAAAAATTTAATGAACACTCACTTGAAAATTTTTTTAACAATTTATTATCCACTCCCAATAATTTATTTCTCTAAACAATTTTTAAACAATTTTTTTGTCAAGGTAGGTTGATAAATTAATACCTTTTGTATATGAGATCTTTACCCTGAAGATATCTGTTTCAAATTTTTTTGTTTTTTTTTACATCACTTTTGTCTTATCCTCTAATGTTTTAGTGATTTTCATGACAAAAATACATGTCCCTTTAACTGAATTAAATGTGTTTTTTACACCTATAATTTCATTTGTTGAGATTAAAAAAATTGGATTTAGAATGGTGGATTATACCTTTTGTTACCCCTTCCACTTGGGCTTCGACTTCGAGAGCAACTTCTGCTTCGAGCTTTAGCACCTGATCTCCTTGTGTCTCTGTTTTCATTATCTGAGGCCTATTCACAAATTTATTCAATCTTAATAAAAATAAAACTTTTTCAATTTAATAAAAAGCATTTAACTAAGTTTATATATTTTAAAATAACAATAACATTTAAATTAACTTGTAAGGTAAAGATGCAGGAAAATTACTTGGCCTCATCATTTAAAGTAGTTATTTTGTTTTTAAAAATAACTAATTTCTCTCTACCCAATCAGAAAAAAATTTAAGCTGTTTGGCCCAAAATACATGTCATTTCAACAGTATGTCAAACAAGATTATAAAATTTCACTGTCTCAGTACAAAAATATTCTAACTGAATACAAGTTTCAAATGAAAAGTGAAAAAATATCCAAAACTATATACTTTCTCCTATTAAACCCAATTATTTTTACCAAATATGACAAGTATAACAAATGTTTCTGGCCACTACATGGCAACACTGGTCACACCTGTGAGAGAACAGGTAAGTAAGTACTATTCCTTAGTAAGAGAGACTACCTTATACTTTGCAGCAATTTACACTTTATAAAACTTAACTGCTATTAAATGAAAAAAAACAAAAAACTTCAAGTACGTGAAATTTGCACTTACTCCTTCTGATTTGGGCTTTTTCAGATCAGGTTTTGGTGGGATGGCAGGTGTTACAGCAGGAGTAGGCTGTGGAGTAGGAATGGTCATAATTGATTTGGTGTTAGAAGTAGTACCATTTAATGTTGTTGTTTGCACAACAGTAGTACTGGCACTAATAGCAACTGTTGTTTGTACAATAGTAGTGCTTGTACTAGTAGCAACTGTCGTGACTGGTTGAACTGTAACAGGCCGAACAACAGGGACTCCAACTAGCTGTTGATGTTTTAAATAGGACTTGTTACTGAGAGTGCCGAACAACAGGTCCACAAAAGACTTTGTTTCTGTAACATATAAAGATCGTGTAATGGTTTTATGTTAGAAACAGCATAAGCTTAAACACAGCACAAACAATGGCCTAATTTCAGCATTTCCTTAAAATAGTTCGTTATCAAATTAATAAATTATAAGTTTATCCAAAATGATTATCATGTGAGATATTAAACATAAAAAATAAATGAAAATAAAATAACCAACTTCGTATTAATCCTATAAGAACAAAGGTGGTCAAGTTGACCAACCTTGACATTGTGAAACTAAACAAACTACATACTGTAATTCTGAATTTACTAAGTCTATTTCAAAACATTTGGCAAATTTTTAGTAAACATTAAAAGTATGTTGACCACAATCTATGAAAGAGTTGTCCATGGATTTCTGAACACTATACTGAGTCAGTCTGAGTGAATGGTAATTTTCATGTAAAGAACAAAAATATTTATTTTCATCTACAAGTTTTCATATTTCATTTAAATAACCTCTAGAACCACCTAAAAGAATATTAAAAAACTATTTTTCAGATATATACTTCTTTGTGCACCACTAAGAGCTATTACTTCACAGTAACTGCTGTGTAATTTCCAGCACATGCCACAAGACTTATACTCCAACATCTACATGTATTATGCCAACCTATGACAATCATCATAATGCTGTAGTGCTCCACCAATAAAAGGATGACACAATTTCCATGTGCAATAATTCTCGTGAGCACTAGCATATGATCGTAGGGTCATTCTTAATAAAGCAAATAAAATGCACCTGAAGTGAGGAGGAAGGATAAGTATCTAATTGAAATACATTTTCAAGTGAGGATAATATTACCATCAGAAACTTTACTTACCTCTCTGCACCAATGAGAACTAGAATCCCACATTGAAAATGGTGCAGAGACCAGTGTGATAAATTACAAAGATAAGCTGTTTATTAAAATAGCGATAGAAAGGCCCTTATACTGTGAAATTAAAGCAAGGGAGATCGGGAATATCCAGTGCTGGTGATTATGTATCACCAAGGTGGGTGGAATGTTAGAATGTGTAGATGTGTAGGCCTAACCACTTACCTGCGGGAAGGCACCACTACCATAAGAAATTGTCCACATCAACATCCCTAGGGACTTGGGAGGTAAGGGTTCTCCCATACTAGACAAACTGAAAAGAAATGGGGAATACATGTAGGGAAGAACACCACACAGTGTGTATGAACTACTATCATCATACACAATCATTTGGAAATTGGGTCTCAAATGAAAAAGACAGGGCAACAGGTTACTATGTTAAAAAAAAAGCAGGTACCTGGTGCTGTCTGTTGTTTTGTATAGAAACAGCCAGGTCAATGAAATAGATATACTGGGCAGGTGGATATAATACTTTCTGTACTCCCCTGCTTGATGGGAAAGTATTCCCTATGAGGCAACATCAGCCACTTGGTGGGATCCAATAACACTAAACATTATTAACATAGTTTAGTTCCACATGTTATGTAAATATTTTTTTTGTTTCTTCCTCCCTCATGATGTGTTTTGGCAAAGTCCAATTACCAGACTGACAGACTGAAAAACTCCTCCAATGGTCAGCATCAAAAGGAAGCAAGAGAGGCTTGGATATAGCAAGTTTTATGAGAACTGCCATTAAAAAGCATTCAGTCAAACTCATCCAAAGAAAAATATGCCAGTTGGATGGAAAGGGAAAAGTTCCTAGAAGAGGAGGTAAGACATAAGTGTTCATGAAAGGGAACAGTTAGAACAGGATACAAAGAAAATCTCTAACTGGGCATAAAAGATGATTGGAGACAAACCAACCATTCCTCATGAGGTGGTGAAGGCATGAATGTTCAAATGATGAAGATCACAAGTAAGTGGAAAGAGAAAACAGGAGACAGAAAGGGAATAGTGCTGATACTATGTGGATAATGCCACTCAGTAACTGGAAATCAGTAAAACAGATGTATCTTTGACAAAAAACTAGGTAAGCAGCGTGGAGGAAAGAATGTCTTGATCATGCACTGGTGCTCATGGGGATTACTGTGCATGGATGTTGTGTCACGCTCCTACTGGTGGAGGACTACAGCATTATGACAATTAAATCATAGGCTGGCACAATACATGTAGGGGCAGAAATTTACTTAAGGCTTGTGACACGTGCAGGAAATTACACAGCCATTACACATGAGGTAATAGTTCTTACAACAGTGGTGTAGAAAGGTAAGTAATGTTTCTGAAACCATTTTCCTCTGTATTCACTGCATTACTGATCATAAAGTTCCAAATTAATTATTTATGAGCTGCAACTGTTAACCTTTTCACATGTTTTCTTTTAATTTTATGGTTTTATTGCTGAACTTTGTACCCACTGGAGTAGTAACTCCCACATAAAAAACAATTGCAGTGAGAGCCCATTAGCTGTTTCCCATAAAGTTGACGTACATGACACATGATGCAAGTATCATGTTTCACATCTCACTGAAGCTAATGCCATTTGAGACATTTTATTTTACTGAAGTTTTGTTAGGCTAAGCTGAGAAATTGGTAATTCTTACATTTTAATTGTTGAAAAAATATATAACAATAATAAACTGGCAAACAACAATTTATAAGCATAACAAAGAGGTTTTGGTTTGGAGGAACATACTACATGTTTCAACAGAAGAGTTAGTATATTCCCCCAAAACTAAACCACTTCCTTATGATCATAAATTGCTGTTTGCCAATTTGTTATTATATTAGCATAATGTGTTTCATACTCAAATATATAATGATTAAAAATATACATAAAAAACAAAGATTTATAGCCCTCTACTTACTCAAGCAATTTGTACTTGAGTAAAAACATTTGTTTTTTTCCCCTAAACCATGACAAGGCTTATAAATTTGTGTATTGCAAAAAAAAAAAAAACATTCATGTAGTTTTCAAGTATTCATTTTAGAACATCAAATATATATATCAGTCACAGGAATAGAATGTCCGAAAACTACTACAGCTTAACCAGCTTCCTATACAAGCTATAAATTGGTTTAAAAAATTCTATTACTGTTTGGAGCAGGAAAACTGAATGTAGAATTGTAAGACTTATGTAGGGGAGTATGTGCTGGTTATGAACATTGCCATCAGCCTTGCAAAGTTGATTAGTGAACAATCATGGAAGTCCAAGAGGGGTGGCTTCTCCTGTGTGTTTGACAAAGTTATTGATATTTCACCAAATATACAAGGTTGAAATTTGAGAATCTTCTTGTAAACATGAAAAGTTTCTGCTGTTTAGATTGCATTGGTTCCCAACCTTTTGTGGCCCTCACACCCCTTCCCAAAAAAGTGTGCATTAGACATTTCCTCTTGGCAACACTTGGGGAAAAACATACCTTGTATAGGCCTCTTTCGTTCGCCACCTGGACCCTTAAAAGACTTACTGAGAAACTTAATAAAGCCAAGCTCCAAGATAGGTTCAAACATAACAATATAAATAAGCACATAAACACAAGGTGCAGAATGTCATAAATGACTTATATTAGAAGTTTGAAAATAAAAATCAAGATAAGCAGAGTTCTTCAAACATTAGACCAACACACATACATGTACACACTAAAGAAATTCAAATTACTTATAAATTCACTCACTGATTCTCAAAACATGGCCTCCTGACAATATAAAAACACTTAAATAATGGACTTAATGGCCATTTCCAGAACCTGAAGAATGTGTACCACATAAAGGACTAAACTTAGCCCTTAGATATAACAAAATACCCACTGCAAATATAGCTACAATCACAGAAGACACAATTTACAGTCCAGAGAAAGAACAAGAATTCAGAAAAAAACTAAACTGAGCAGTTTAAAAAGCTAGGAAATGTAAATTAACCATGATATGATCCTTTCAGAAATAAATTGAAAAAACAACACTATAACAACTCTTACATAAATCTTACATTCTAAGAGTAAATGTGAACAAGTGCAGCTTGGTATATATCCTGAAAATAGTGTCTATTATGCATAGGTTCCATCACCAAAGAAGCTGGTGGAAACACATGAGATTAAGACTGTAGAGTCTGATGAAATACACTTGTGCACTAGAATTAACGGTGACTTTCCCCACTATATGTATTTGTGCAATTCACTGTTTCCGAGTTCCTTCTTGCTGGTATTAAGTAGTTTTTTACAAAGCAGAAACTTGCATATTCCACAAGCCAAACTAGCACATAACTTCTGCAGTAGCGTCATCTCTAAGATGCAAAAGCAAGAGCCAAGACAAAAGATAGAAACTTTTCATTTGTAACAGATAATACTTAGAACAAGACAGAATCCTACCTCACTTACCTAAAGCCAGTGAAGAGTCAGCAATACCAGACCAATACACTGCAAGTCTGAGCAAAGTTCTGGAAACTTCTGTATCTGAAAACTCAACCTCACATTCATATATTTTCACCTGCAAGTATCAATCCATGCCTAGTCTTGCATTAACTGTACTGGTCACCACATATTTGGAAACAAGCATGCTACTGCATCCTCCCAGATTGGTGGTGAAACCCAACCTCGATTCCTCTATTACAACTTTATTGCAGCTGTGAGAGAAACTGCTTGACTTCAGCCCTCACGTTGTAGCTTAAAAGTTACTCAAAAAAGAAACTGCTGTCTCTCCTATTCCATGACAGAATTCAGACAATTCCTCCCTCAACTTTCTACCAATCTGCAATCATCTTTACTCTGGGGTGTAATCATACTCAATTGAAGGGGTGGTGCAAGGGTTTGTAAAAGTTAGAAAAGGGTAATAGTTAATATCATCTTGAATAGGAATAATGAAAATGTTTAATGGTGTAGGTAATCTAGGATTGTGGGATACTACACAAAGACTATGATCTGTCCTAAAACTTTAGCATCAGTGCACACATGTTTTTAATGTTTTCAAAGGCCCTTATGTGGTATGTGGATTAAACAGCAAGGCCACAGATCTCCTAAGTTAAGATATTGTTATTTTTTATCTGTTCACTAAAGGGAGGGAAATCATTCAACAAATAGCAGGTATAATACAACTGAAAGTGTGAAGTGTATTCAGAAGGATATTGTTGTCTTTCTTATTCTTAGCACAGCATGCTGATCAATATACCAAAGGCAGCCTGGGTTTCAAGTGAACAATGCATTATACACCCATCAAAAACACTCAGGAACAAATACAACAGAAATTGTCCTTTTCAGGACTTCCTTGAAGATGACAGCAGATTACCAGCTGAAACATTGGATAAAACTAGGTGATTGTACAGGCTACTTGCCATTGCAGCATTTGGTATATGATCACTGCAGCCTTATTGTACTTATTCATGATGATCAATTAAAAACTTGTTGAACAATGTTAATGTTTCTATTAAGGATATATTTAGCATAGATAGAAAAGCACAAGTCAATAAGTTAACATGTTTGTATTAAAATGTGAAAAACAACTATTTTGTAAAATAATTCAATTACCACAATGTAGTTAACACAGTACATGTTTTTTTTTTAGTTGGTAAAGTATTAAATCACCTATAATTATATAAAACCCAGTAATAAGTGTTTTAATATCAACATGTACACAATAAAACTGTATTAATTTCAGGAAAATACTGAACTAATAGATATAATCTCTACATAAAATACACATTTAAAGCAATACAGTTTTCTTACAGAACCAAGAATGGTAGAAGGTATAAATTACCACTATGAGTAAATACTTCTACTGATATTACCATTTTTCAAATCATTGGTAAATTTTACATCACAACGGGCATCCTTGACTGCGCATGTCACAAGGTTTTAGTGACTTACATTCAAAATTTCATTAATCTATTTTTTGTTCAAGTTATACCAATTATTTTAGCATAAAATCTTGGCTAATAATCCATATTTTAATAGTATACAAGTTTTAAGTTCTCAATTTTTTAAGGCAATATTTAAAAAATCCTGAATTTCCCCTAGTGTGAGAAATGACATATTTTCCCTAGGCATCTCCTCTTCTGTATTTTATCCACCACCCCTCCAATAAGTACAAAATTCCACATAAATTACTCACAATAAATCATCATTACTCAGACAAACCATAATTTTATAGCCTTCAATTTTGTTTGGTTACAGAGCCATCAAATATAAAATCAGACCCCTCTTGCCATACCCACCTGTCACATCTTCTCCATCAAGATTTGCTAATAGTTCTCATTCTTAAGTTTAATTATATATAATCTATAACCAATAGTAAGCCAAGGTTTTCATCTATCAAATGACGTGTTATATTACATTGTTTTCTCAATGGAGAAATGTCAATTTCACTGGTAGCACAAGCTTCTTTCCAACAGGAAAGATAACAACTAGCTTGGATGATTTTGTAACAGTTCTTGTCAAATAGTTAAAAAGCCAGAAAAACTGTGATAGTCACTGTCTACTTTTTCTAAGTTATCATTCTATGTTCTTTGAAGCATTATTTAATTAAATAAAAACTATTTTGTGTATTACTACCATTAATATAAAAAAAATAGATTTACATAACATCGAAAATCGACAGCAAGAAAAAATAAGAATCAGGTAAGTATTTTATTTTTTGTTTTTCAAGTTTATTCTTTATTGATTATTATAAAAGTAACTAAAATGTAAAAATAGGGATCTCTTTAGGTTAGTTAAGGTTAGATTAGGTAAAATAAATAATAATACAATAAAATGTTTCACGAGGCATGCAAGTGAGTAGCTCGTGGGTAACATAATTCAATAGCAAAATGTTACCTCCACTGTTCCAAAAGTGAGTTACAACTTATAATAGCACAAATAGTTATTAGACATGGTTCAAAGGGCAATAAAACAATAAAATTAAATTATAAATAGATGTATATTGTTATGAATTTAGAGCTATTTAGGATAAATGAATGTGGTTTCATGTTACAATGTGAAGTCATTCTAGAAAGAAAACAAAGGTAATTTACATTTCTTTCAATTCTTTTTTTTTTCTTTGGTGGTTACAAGGTTGGTCAAATTGACCAATGTTGTATAGAGTTATGGTTGAGAAAATAATAGATAAAATATAAAGTTTTACTGAAAATAAACATTTGAAATGTATTTAGGAGGTTTTAGAGATTACATAAATCAAACTGAGATTTTTGAGATGAAGAAAAGTATTTTAACCTTAATATGAAAATCACTTTGCACAGACTATTCAAAACAAATACCTGATGTATTTGCAGTAATTTTTTTTTTGGTTTATTTAAAATACTTCACAAAAAATATGATTTTTTTATGTGAAAGACTTATAATGATTACCAAAAGACTGCCAAATTTTGCAAAGATATACATACTATATTAAAAGTTAGTAGTATCAAATCTATAAAGACATTATACAAGTACAAAGAGGTTACATGGTCAGTTAAATCCACGGAGCCCGTGTTGAGAGAGTTAATTGAGTTTGAAGGATTATTACTACTTTAACAATTAAAAGATCAAAAGCCATATTACAAGGTTTCCAGTAATTAATCTGTATTTTCAAATTTATAAAACCAAATAAAGTATTTAAGTTAAAAGAAATTTATAACAAAAGCTACTGTCACTAAAAATTTAGGTATTTTATATTATATCACAGGTTCACAAACTTTCTCAGCACAAGACCATTCCACATTGTGACTGTTGGATATACAAGACTGTTTAGTTTCAGAGTTACTATTTAGTTTATTCAGTGATTTAATATTTAATGATTATTTAGTTTTCATAACAAGAGCATTAAAAGTTAATTATTTTAAAAGTAATAGTTATCACAAGTTTTGTTACGTAACTCTGTACAAGTCGTACATTGTGTATCCAGTTTAATTGTTGTACTATGCTATTGTAATATTGTTGATGTCATCTTACTCGAAACTTCTAAGTTTTTTTTAGTTTTGTGTAATATTGTTGTTACTCCACAGCTATATATTTCTAGGTTTTCCTGTCACCTGTTATAAATACATACAAATACAGAAGTAAAGTAATTTAGTGAAAGTGACAGTAAAAGTGAAGTTAGACTGTGTGCGAGTTTAGCCATAACATGCAATTTTTAAAGTGAGTTTCACAGCCTTATATTGTAATAACAGAGATAGAGGTAACCAACAGTTATAGTGGTGATTTTAAAGTGAGTATCACAACCTTTTATTGTAATACAGAGTAGAGGGAAATTCTTTGTCTTGTCAAAGGATGTTCTAAAGTAATTAAACCTGCCTATGTGGACACTTGACAAGAATTATAATTATTTAAAGCTCTGGATACAACTGTGATAACCAATAATGTAATACATTTTTGTACATATGTTTGACTTGGTTTTAACATATCATTTTAAAACAAGTGTATTGTGTGCTGTCTGTTTATTGTTGAAATTGATCACCAAAAAGACACAGACACCCACTGTAAAGAATCCGTCCCAATAAAACTGACACTGACAGATGTCCCATATCAAATGAATCTATAGATACTGAGTACTTTAACAGCTCCCCACACCCCAACATTTTCCTGTAGCTCCTTTCCAGCAGTTATACTGACAAAAATAAATACTTCTCTAAAGAGCAAAAAACAAAATGGATGGCTGTGTTGAAGAAAAACCTTGCTTGAACCCATCTGACAAATTAAAAACACTATATACTCTACACTTGAGAATTTAACACTTAAATCTGCAAGCACATAAAACTTAGAACTTATATTCATTATTAGCCTTACCTTTTTGAAGAAACACTTCCAATTGATCCAAACAATTGTCTTTCAGCTCTTTCTCTGGTTTATCTTTTTTAATAAGTGCCATCACATATTTTGAAAGAGCACGTGGGTCAGCCTCACAACTACAGTGTATAACAAAAAAGTCATTATACACAATTTCATAGATAATATTATGTTTCATACATATTTATAGCATGAAAGCGGAAGCATAGATGTAAACAGGTTACAACGAAATGTTACCTTTAGAGTATGAAAAAAAAAAAGTAAAAAACATGTCAAACAACAATGCCATTTCAATGAGAAGAAACTCACAAGTATCATTACAAAGAATATAGCCATTGAAAAATGGTATTAAGAGGAGATATGAATGACACACACACACACACAAACAGTCACTAAAAGGTTTAAAATTACCATGTAAATATCAATATCATGACTTAAGGATCAAATTACATATCAAAGTGGCCAATCTTTCTAAATTAATTATGAACTTAAAATAAATTTAATTCAACTATGGGTCAATGAACTTATTACATAGGGTTAGTCTATGGCATTAGACAAGCTCCATAACTGGTTGTCCCTGGATATTTGTTTTTACTTGGCTGGGGGTGTTTTATTAAAAGTGCTTCTTTAATTTTTTGCATGGCAGTATTCTTTTACAAATTTAAGACATTGATACTAGTAGTCATGTTGAAATACTGCCATGTATGGAAATGTTCAAAACATGTAATGGACTGCATCCTTGTTTCTGAAGTCTGGTGGTTATGTTTTTTCCTGTTTCTCCAATATAAGAGCACCGTGATATATATTCTTCATCCGACAAAATTTTTTACTGGTGGGTCATGATAGTATTTTTTTTATTTCAAAGAAACCTACACTTAGATTACAACAAAGAATGAAAGAAAATTTTGTTTCTATTTCAAAGTTAATATTCTTTTATATGTTGGTTCCACAATAGCAGAGAGCAAAAAAATAGTGTTTTCAAAATAAATTTCCAATTTTAATAGACATAGGAATTATTCAAGGTCTTCAAAACAATTCCCAAAGATATAATAACTGTTTAATATGACTAAATCTCTCAAATAAATGTCACTATTCCAGTTCAAGACTTTTGTCTATGTCACAGATGGATTTTAGAACATTTATAATTGATTATACCAATGCTTAGTTTTAATTCCTATCATGAGCATAGAGCCAATTAGGGGTGGGGGTGGGTGCAGGAGAGCTTTTTGGCACAGGCCTCAAGCTCATAGGGAGTCTGAAATTTAGACACGGAATGGATGTGGGAACTGGATGACAAGTCCCTCTGAAAGACCTGAAGAACCCAATGATCAGTAGTGAATTCCTGTCAGAAGAAAACAAAATGAGTTAAATGAGCCCCCACTGGATCAGAGCCCACAGTACAGTCACTGGTACCGAGACCTGTGTCGATAAACACAAACTGTGGAAAACCTAGTGGGAGGAACAGGTAAAGGTCAAGAGGGTGTCAGACATGGAACAGAAGATTGCAAGGGCCAAGGGCGAGACAAATGAGCAATCAAAAATGAAAAGTCGAATCTTGCCTCACAAATTCCACACATGATTCCAAAGTTTCAGGAATATTCCCAAAAATTAACCACTGGAGAAAATGAGCCATCTGCAAATTTCCTGGGGTAAGACAGCATCTCTCCCCAGATGATCCCAATAGCACAGAAATCACGTAAGAAAAAATAGAGCCAAGATGGACAATCGTGTCAACATAGAGATAGGGAAGGAGAAGGTATGCTCTAAAATCCCTCATAAGATCAGTGAAGTGCCTCAGAAAAGATGTGCATGGTGTACAAGTACTGCAGAAAGTCATAAAGGTAAGACAAAGGCAGGAAAACTAGGCCTGGGTAAATGGACGTGGTTGTCAGGGTTAGCCTCCCATATTGGCAGTAGTTATTCTATCTACTGAGAATCAAGAAAAGGGTAATCTGCCTGATGGTAAACTAATGCAAATTGATCTGTAGCCTGTGGAGGGTGAGAAAGGTTAGCACAAGCTCGCAACTGAAAAAACAAAATGCATGAACCCTGACATCAGGAGGGAAAACAATATACTGGGAGGAAGGGGTGTTATATAATAAGGAAGAAACAGGATTATAAGAAAACTGGAAAATGGATAAAACAGAAAAAACTTGAGAAAACATGTATAAAAAACTGAATTAAGTCTAACTGATTCTGCAGGGAAGGCATGGCATAATCGGGAGGAGGAAAAAGGATGACAAAATCCTGGTCATCACAAACAGGTTTGGCAGATTCAGGAGGAAGCTGAGCACTATCAGAAGAAGAAGGTTGACTCAGATAACGTTCAATCTTCTGACAAATTAAACAAAATATTCCTCAGTCAAGTTCACCCAAACTGCAGCCTATGTAATTGTGCTGATAGCAGGTGAGTTCTCCCAAACTGAAGCCGAGGTGGTATTACTGTATTTTTTGGGTTTAATGACCCAACTTTTACTGATGACCCTTGAACAGGCAAAACTTCAATCCACAGAAGAAAATATGATGAATCAAAAAGTATAATAATAAGACCTCTATGCCACAGGTTATATTTTTATAGAAGTTTTGTTTGAGCAAATCCACATCTTCTGTGTCCAATGTGGGGAATCAAACCCTGGATTTTAGTGCTTTAAGTCCAAATATATACACATGTCCCACCGAGGGACAATATTTTCAATTTTACCTTTAATAAAGTGTAGGCTATGCTATGCAGAGTTGTCACAAAGGCACATTGAGAACAACTTAAACCATATCAAAATGAAGCATTCTGTTGGATCTTGTGCAGAAGCCCATTGGAGATGCAGACAAATAAGTATGCTAGACTAGTAGCACATGTATACTATTTCTTTAATAATATGATTAATGCTTGCTGTCTAATTAAAACAGACCATACCTAGTAGAGATATATATGTAACATACAACATTTCTCTAAATTCTTTAAATATATAAAAACTGAAGTAACACAAAAAACAGTCGCACCTGAGATATCTAAAGTAAGAGCACTCTCTTAACTTTGTGGTTTTAAGTTTTAATGTTGACTACATAATTCTGGGGTGTGCCTTAAATCTATAGCTACAAGTTATTTAAATGCTTTGTAACAAATTACAGAAAATTAATAATCATAATTCATATTCATTAGGCAAATGAAAACTCAACCAAAGTAAAACCTATTATCTTTGATATTCTTCAATTAGTCTAAATTTAAGATAAAAAAAAAACATACAAATTAGAGTAACATGAATTTATTTTGTAAAATAAAGCTTTTTGATAGTTATATAATTTTATCTTACAAAAAATGTGAAAAACCATATGGAAAGAAATGAGAACAAAACTAGAAAGTGTACTCAGATAATATAGTTAATATTTTCATTATCTGAAAATGTATTTCAGATAGATACTTATCTCTCTGTACTACTAAAAGTTATTACCTCATGTGCAACTGCCACAGAATTTCCTGAACATGCTACAAACCTTGAACACACCCCCATCCCTACATGTGTCTACAAGTAATGCACCAGCCTATGAACGTACTTGTCATAAAGCTGTAGCTCTCCACAATAGAAGGGTGATTCAACATCCTTGTGCAGTAATTCCCATGAACACTCATTTTTGATGAAGTAAATGAAATGCACTAGAAGCGTGGAGGAACAGTAGGAGATGGTGCAAGGAGGTAAGTATCTATCTGAAATATATTTTCAGGTAAATTAAATGTAACTTACATCTTTGCATCACAAAGCACTAGACTCCCATAGTGATGGAGAGGGTTGTGCTTACCAATTACAAAGATGAGCTTCTTTCTGACATAGCAACAGAAAGGGAAAGCACAAGGGGTGTGACTTCTATTAAACTGAGGTCACCTAGTGGAGTATCACCCAGTGGTAAATTGCATCCCTCTCAAGCAAGAAGTACCCTTTACACAATAGTTTTCATTATAATCTAGTGGTGGTGATGGTAATGTTTCATCAAAGTGAGTGAAACATTAACGTGTGTAATGTGGCTTGGGCTTTAAGTCATAACATCTTGGTCAAATACTTGAATAAGATGGATACTATAACAGCAAGTGAAGGGAAGAGAAGCCCTCACCTGCATCCCAAGGCAAATCAAAGTCCCATCTGGCTGGACATATAAAACCAGGAATTGAAAGACATTGTAATGGATTGTACTGCACTACATATTCAGCTAACACCCCAACTGTACATCTCAAATGAGGTGTGGGCTTAACCAGTTTATTACAAGGGGAAAGCACAACTTGCAGAGAAAACTTTCCACATAAACATCTCAAGTTGCTTGGAGCTTGAGGAAGTATAGGTTCTCCCATGCTTCACCAAAAGAATGGGAGGATGGAAAATATCCATAGGTGAGAACACCAGAGTGTACATGAACTGTCATCAAGCATGAGCTAGTTGTAAACCTAGGAGTACACCTAGTGCTGTCTGTTTTTTGTTTGTTTGTTGAATATGTACAAAAGGAATGACACATACATGGTTGTGTCATGAAGATCAAATAGATCAGCAAAGGGGATAGAAAAAATAAAATAAAAAGACAAAACTTGCCACACAAGAACCTCTGGATAGACTATAGAATAGCAATAGGAGGGAGGCAAAATATAGAGGCACATGAAACTGTCCAGTGATGTTAGTAATGGGAGATGAATGTGTTAGAAATCCACATACCAACCTGTAGGATCTCTATCACAGATCAGCATCAAAAGGAGGCAAGAGAGGCTGTGATATGCCTAATCTTATGGGAGGTGATGTTATAAAGCAGTAAGTTAAACTCATCCAAAAATATGAATGTGCCAGATGAATAAACTGATGGACCAAACTAGCTAAAGTGGAAGGGGATAAGTTTCTAGAGGAGGAGATTAGCCATGGTAAAAACAGGAAATGATGATGTTCACAAAAGGGAGTAGTCTCAGTGGGATAGAAATAGACAGTCTTAAAGGAACATGAAAAAAAAACTATCTGGAATGGAATGATTGCAATAACAAGAAAACAGAACGGAGATTGAAGAAAAACAAATAATCATTCTCCTGAACAGTCCACTTCTTCACATAAAAGGAGTCATCAGGAAATAAATCAACAGGTCCTTATGATACAGG